ACAGAGCATTATCATGGAATGAGGTCACAGTACAACACACACGATCTGTCTGGGATTGGACCCGGGTGTGTTATGTGTTATTCACATGTTTTAACAATGCGTAAAAATTCTTCGATGCAATGTCCATAAGAGAAAGTAACCCCCTGATAAGATCCATGGGTGTGTCCTTTCTGGGATGCTACTCTGTGATCTAAAAATATCAGTCGCGATGTCAGATACCCTGTTTAACATTTTTTAAAAAGCTAAAATTAGGGTAGGCTCATTGTCCACTCCAGCTGGGTACAACCTGCAGTCCTTCGTGGGAAAGAACGCCCTCGATAAGTGAAGAAAGCAGAAAGTCCGGGCAACGCCTGAACTAAGGGAAATAATGGTGAAAAGTGTATGTACATTATGAGAGGTGATGTCCCTTGTACAAAGGAGCGGCTGGCCGAACGGGTACAACGTCGCTCTCATGCTGGAGACTCGAGTTCGACCCCCTTAAGGTGAGGCATTTTCTGTCAAGGTAGAATTAAACATCCTAACCTAAACAGTCTGTGGCGACAGCACTAGCCAGGCCACCTTAAAACCCTAAGCTCACGAAACCCCGTCTACACCGCTTAAAAAAATGTGGTTCAACTGACAGTAGTCACAATGTTGTTTAGCCCCTTCCACTGCCTGCGTGATCTGGGGCTCTTTATTGGAGAAAAGATATTGACCCACTGTCCCCTAACATGCATGTTGCAGACGACGACTTATTAGGACTGCTTCCTTTGAAGTCAGAGCACTTCTGCCGTAGAATCAAGGCACCAACAGTCTGCATACAAATAAGGGAGATCTGTGTAGGCAAACTCAATTTCTGGAACAAGACCAAAGTGCTGGAGTGGAGGAAAAACCAGACCTTTCCACCGGGGACATTAAATTCTTCGTACCCTGTTTGTACTTCAGGTTACTTGGTAACCGAGGGGGAGACAACAATACCTCATGGTTGAACAGGTTTTCGGTACTTTTTTTTAAGGGCGGTGTGTCACAGAAAGGGAAAAGTGGGCGATGAGACGAAGCATTCAGGGCAGCATTGCTAGTTGAGGGTTGCATGTATCACTCCCCACAAATCTCGGTCATTGGTATTGTGTGCACAAGTTCTATTTTTAAGACTCCCCACAAATCTCGGTCATTGGTGTTGTGTGCACAAGTTCTATTTGTAAGACTCCCCACAAATCTCGGTCATTGGTGTTGTGTGCACAATTTCTGTTTGTAAGACTCCCCACAAATCTCGGTCATTGGTGTTGTGTGCACAAGTTCTATTTGTAAGACTCCCTATGGTCTTTGGCACAAGCGGAATCACCAAGTGCACATGGATAAAATAATCCTTTCCGCCAGAGTACATCAGATTTCACCAGGTTATTGTGGCTGTTACTGGTGGCCCAGTTATAACTTCTCTGGGTTGGTTGAGCTGTTACTGGTGGCCCAGTTATAACTTCTCTGGGTTGATGTGGCTGTTACTGGTGGCCCAGTTATAACTTCCCTGGGTTGGTGTGGCTGTAACTAGTGGCCCAGTTATAACTTCTCTTGGTTGGTTGGGTTGTTACTGGTGGCTCAGTTATAACTTCTCTGGGTTGGTGTGGCTGTTACTGGTGGCCCAGTTATAACTTCTCTGGGTTGGTTGAGCTGTTACTGGTGGTCCAGTTATAACTTCTCTGGGTTGGTTGATCTGTTACTGGTGGCCCAGTTATAATTTCTCTGGGTTGGTTGAGCTGTTACTGGTGGCCCAGTTATAACTTCTCTGGGTTGGTGTGGCTGTTACTGGTGGCCCAGTTATAACTTATCTGGGTTGGTGTGGCTGTAACTGGTTGCCCAGTTATAACTTCTCTGGGTTGATGTGACTGTTATTGGTGGCCCAGTTATAACTTCTCTGGGTTGGTGTGGCTATTACTGGTGGCCCAGTTATAACTTCTTTGGGTTGGTTTAGCTGGTACTGGTGGCCCAGTTATAACTTCTCTGGGTTGGTGTGGCTGTTATTGGTGACCTAGTTATAACTTCTCTGGGTTGGTTTGGTTGAGCTGTAACTGGTGGCCCAGTTATAACTTCTCTGGGTTGGTTGAGCTGTTACTGGTGGCCCAGTTACAACTTCTCTGGGTTGATGTGGCTGTTACTGGTGGCCCAGTTATAACTTCTCTGGGTTGGTGTGGCTGTTACTGGTGGCTCAGTTATAACTTCTCTGGGTTGATGTGGCTGGTACTGGTGGCCCAGTTATAACTTCTCTGGGTTGATGTGGCTGGTACTGGTGGCCCAGTTATAACTTCTCTGAGTTGATGTGGCTGGTACTGGTGGCCCAGTTATAACTTCTCTGGGTTGGTTGGCTGTTACTGGTGGCCCAGTTATAACTTTTCTGGGTTATTGTGGCTGTTAATGGTGGCCCAGTTTTAACTTCTATGGGTTGGTTGAGTTGTTACTGGTGGCCCAGTTATAACTTCTCTGGGTTGGTTGAGCTGTAACTGGTGGCCCAGTTATAACTTCTCTAGGTTGGTTTGGCTGGTACTGGTGGCCCAGTTATAACTTCTCTGGGATAGAACAGGGTGGCTAGGATTTTCCCCATGGCTTGTCAATTAGATTTTTATCTCAGGGTGATGAAACTTGCAGATGCAGTCCGGTGGAAAAGGGGAAGGGGGAATGAAAGAAAGGAATGACGAGCATGAATGCCTTAGCTCTGGGAAAAATTGATATGTTTGGACACGAAAATAATCACTCTGTAGATATTTTTTCATCTTATAGAACATAAGTATATTTGCAGGACAACGGTAAAGGCCCACTAAAACTGGACGCAGAAGCTGAAGATGCATTGCATAAGATAAAGAAAGGAAAGGCGCCTATCCCGGACAACATACCACTGGAAGAAATAGTAGTACATTTTAGCCCGCCAGGATATCACACAAGCGATAAACACCGATGACACAAAGTGCCACCATGTGGATGAGGATCACCCGTGGATAGGTCCCGGAAACCGCGTGCAGCCATTAGGCCATATTTATGGCCGGGCTAAATTGCGGTCCCTTGCAAGAGCCAGGGTGGAGCTTCAAAATAACTGAAAATTGCATCCCACGAGGGGATAACTGAATAATAGAAGAAATTAAAGTTTTGTTGATATTCTAGAAATGAAATAATAACAAAAAATGTTAAAATGAAATTACAATCGTGCGCACATTCCTGGTGACCTTCTAAAATCTATACTATTGTTCTTCCAAAGAAACCAGACACCTTAAAATGTGAAGACTAACGCACTGTAAGTCTTATGGGAGGCTTTTTGGAAATTACATCGAGCAAGATGGTTCAGCGACTTACTTTCAGACGCCGCCTCTCATACAACACAAATTCCAACCGCCGCAAGGTCTCTAAGACTCCCGGTGGAAAGTTGGTTTATTTGTACCAGAAAAGCTTGCAAAGACACCAATATGTGGTGATTACAAGACCAAGCTCAAGGGGGGGGGGGGGGGTTCGATCTGTGCGTCCCCACAAGCTGAGTGCTTTGAGCAAACGCCAGAAGACAGTCAGTCGTGCATATGGAGGATCACTGTGCCACAAAGCTGTCAGAGAACGAATCATTCGTGCTTTCCTCATTGAGGAGCAGAAGAGCGTAGCCAGAGTTCTCAAGGCACAAGAGGCCAGCAAGAAACACTAGAACTTCTGTTGACAATTACATTTTTCAAATGCAAAAAAAAAAAAAAAAAAAAAAAAAACTTATGGGTCTTCTGACAAAAATGTCACTGAGAATAGTTATGAGAAGAAAAAGAAACAAGATTAAACCAGGCATTAGTGAAGAACAGTGTGGATTTGTAGAAGGAAAATGTACAAACAATCCATTATACACCATCAGGACTCTTTCAGAAAGAGCAATAGACGTAAATAAAACAAAAAACTGATCTTTACCTATGTGTCATTGAGTATGCGAAAGCACTTCTATGTGTGAAATATGAAGAAATAATCACACTACTGGAAAAGTTAAATATTAAATAATCATTTAAGAACGTTTCAGATCATACAGAGGGGGGTAGGAAAAGGATGCGTACTATCACCTGATTTGTCTGCATTATACAGAGTATACATAATAAGATCTATCATAGATATGACAGGAGTTGTCGCTGGATGTAATGACATAAACAACTCACGTCACGCTGATAGTACTGTCTTGACAGCGACAAGTCAGAACGAACTACAGGTACTGATAGATACGGTGGTGTTAAAAAGTGATCAAATGGGCCTGAGTTTGAATCATGGGAAAACAGAAGTATTGGTGATTTCACGAAAATAATAGTGTTTAAATGTATAATAAAAGGCGTTGTTTTAAGACATATAACAAATCCAATGGACGATGCATCACAGAGTAAAAGAATTGAATAGGACAGGCCTAAACTGTCTTTTATAAAATGAACATTTGTGCAATAAACCATCTAATCCGAGTTGAGAAAAGAATTTGTGCATGCTTGTTTCAACATATGGCTGTTACTCCTGGACATTTAATAAAGCCAAACAATAGCTTGAGGCCCATAGACGTGGTTTACAAAAGAATCCTTAGAATTCCTTGGACAACTAAGAAGAGCAATCGACATGTTTTAAATGAGGCCAGTGCTCGAAGACAACCTATCAGAGACATCAGACAGAGACAGTCATTTTTTCCCGGTCATATTGTGAGAAAAGGGAAACTAGAACATGTTGTGACCACTGGAAAGATCTGTGGAAAGAGAGACAGGGGAAGACAGCGCGAGACGATTCTTGGTTTTTAACGAATTTTTGAGCACAATCCAGGTCCTATGCTAACAAAAACAAAGAAACAAAAAATATCCTCTTCTTGTTGCCTTCCTGAGTGAATCTTATACAGAGACCTGGCAACCTGCAGAAAAGGTAACATATCTCTGTCTGCAGTATCTAGTATAGGAGATGAAGGTGCTAAGTATATTTCACACACCCAAGCGTGTGTCCTCTATACGTAGACTTTATTTGCCTTAGTCATAGGTTTGGTTTCCAGAGAGTTAATCTTGCCTGGGTTGACCAGGTAATTCATCTGTTTTAGATGTCAGGTTGGAGTGGTCAGTGTGGAAATAAGGGTTGTCACCTGAAGATAGTCTGTTGCGGCATCGCTGAAGAGAGGAGTAGTTCTTGTCGGAGAAGACGTCCCTGTCCCGGGCATACCTACATGCCTGGAAGGTGAAACCCATGAAGAAGCCGAGGATCAGCGAGCCAATGATGGAAACGATGACGGCGAGGATGACGATCTCGATAGCCAAACCAGCAGCTTGCCCTGTGGTGCTGGCTGAGATCAAACCCTCTGGGGAAGACAAACAGTTGAGACAACCAGAGACAGTTCAATCAGACAAATACTGGCATGTGCCTTCCTCTTCTTCTTCTTCTTCTTCTTCTTCTTCTTCTTCTTCTTCTTCTTCTTCTTCTTCTTCTTCTTCTTCTTCTTCTTCTTCTTCTTCTTCTTCTTCTTCTTCTTCGTCTTCTTCTTCTTCTTCTTCTTCTTCTTCTTTTTCTTCTTCTTCTTCTTCTCTTCTTCTTCTTCTCTTCTTCTTCTTCTTCTCTTCTTCTTCTTCTTCTTCTTCTTCTTCTTCTTCTTCTTCTTCTTCTTTTTCTTCTTCTTCTTCTTCTTCTTCTTCTTTTTTCTTCTTCTTCTTCTTCTTCTTCTTCTTCTTCTTCTTCTTCTTCTTTCTTCTTCTCTTCTTCTTCTTCTTCTTCTTCTTCTTCTTCTTCTTCTTCTTCTTCTTCTTCTTCTTCTTCTTTTTCTTCTTCTTCTTCTTCTTCTTCTTTTTCTTCTTCTTCTTCTTCTTCTTCTTCTTCTTCTTCTTCTTCTTCTTCTTCTTCTTCTTCTTCTTCTTCTTCTTCTTCTTCTTCTTCTTCTTCTTCTTCTTCTTCTTCTTCAACAAGGGGGTCTGGCCGGCGCTCAACACTCTAAAGAAGGGCGAGACGGATATACAATCAGGTGGCAAAGACAATACTAACACAAGCCCGTGATAGAGAAGAAAACAGTTGTTTAATATCAGCTGCTGCTAGCACTTTAAGTGCTCTCAGTCCTTTTCTGGCTTTAAGTATGTCGTTGTCTACGTGGCATTTCTATAACAAGCATCCATCAAATGCCATGCCTAGGTATTTCATGGTGTCCGTTCTCTCGATGTCCACACCACACACGCTTACGACTGCGTTGGTGTACAGACGATGTGGGCAGGATAGCATTTGAGCAGTATAGCATTGCCTTTGTTTTCTTCCAACTGTAACAGTACCCTGTTGTCTATCTTCAGCTCGAGCATAACAGAGATTTGTTTGCCTCTGTTCATCTTTTGGTGGAGCCGCCAGAATTTTCCGAGAGATTTTGCGTAACCTTTTTCTTGGCAAAAATATTCCCACATTGTCTAATTAGACTTCTTTGCGAGTTGCTTAGAATGTTCAGTGAGTCTCTCTTTTTGTGTGTTTAATGTCTTGTTTCTGAGATTCAGAAAAATTCGAAGGCTTTCTGCATTTCTCCCAGTCTTTAGTGGCACATCGTATCTCTTTTCAGGCTTCTGCGACTTCAGGTGTCCAACACGGGGGCTGTTGAAAGATAGCTTTCTTCTTTTCCAGTGTGCTGCGTGACCTGTCTCTCAGACGCCAAATTACATCAGGCTGATGTGCAGTGTACTGGAAAGTAGTGGCTGGTCTCTGATACAAATGGCGAGTAAACGCAGCCAGCCATATCATCCACAGATTTCCAGTTCCATCTTAGACAGAAAAAAGACGACCACATTCAACCGACTGGTTTGAATCAATTCTGGTCTGTCACTAAGGGTCACGGGAACCAAAGACTAGAAAAGGCTCCCTTACTTATGTTGACGATATTGTCAGGCTACAAAGAAATTAAAAGGAATGTACGAATAACATGTAATTAAATTCGATGAAAAACAAAGACTGAAATGGTTTGGCCATTAAATGAGAAGGAATCCAAGAGTAACAGCATGAAATTAGAAACACCGAAGCAGGGGACGACCAAAAAGAAGATGGACTGAAGGAGTCACCGATACTTTGAGACGCTACACAACAACATCACGGCATAGCTGGCAACCAAGCGTGCTGTAGCTCTGATACCTGTCCCCTGTTAATCGGTAAGGCCAAGCGGCAGAAAGCAGAATAGAGGCACATGAGAAGAGGTAAGACAGGCAGCAACTACACCGACCGACCACTCCACAGTCGCGGCTCGTGTTCCCTATAAACTGACACCAGCACAATCACCCCGCATGTCCCCTCTCCAACCGCCTCCCTCTCCAGCTTACAAAATGTGGTATAAAACCGGTATTTTACACGTATATCAATGTTAGGGTATGTCTACTCACCGTCACGTGTGTCATCTACATCCTCTCTTTTATCATGAGAATCTTTAATGTTTATATTCTCCTCATCTCTACGACCTGTTTGGCATAAACATGTAGTACACAATATTGAAAACATACTTACACCAAAAGCAACTAACAATTAAACAATGCAGCATTTAACACATGAACAGGAAATACCCGCTGAGATATACACAAATCCTAGAAAACATTTGGAGGTGATAGTTTAGTTTTGATATTCATCGACAAAAAAAGATTTGCAAGTTCAGAATATTGTTTGGTTGTTGTTTGGGTTGGTTTGTAAGGGATCCTCTACTCCTAGAATGCCTCGCGGCGTCGGAGGAGAAAAAGATCTCTTTAACGGGCTCTTCTATTTGCTTCGTATAAAGTACTTTCCAATGTCTCTGATATTTCTGCGGTCCATTTCCTGCGCGGTCGACCTCTGGCTCTGTTACCGTTGTGTCTGTATAACACTGCTCTCTGTGGTGCCCTGACGTCAATCTTATTACATGCCCAAACCACTTTATGTGTTGTCTACCGATACAATTCCTAATTGGTTCTGTGCGACTCTCCTGACATTATGGTTCCTAAGTTAGTTTTTTCTTGTTACACCTAGCATTTTATTTCCATTTCTGTCTTAACTATTTTCCTTCTGTTTTCTGAAGACAGTATCTATTTTTGAAACTTATAGCATAGCGTTAGTAAGCATATTGTGTGGAACAATACTGTTTCGTTCTGCAACTGACGAAACATCTGTAACGCACATAAGAGTTCTCGTGATTTTCGTCCTTGTCCGAGAACGCTATACATCCGATTCACTACCCAGGCATCAGACTGAAGCATACCTTCGGTTTCCTTATTTTATAAATTATCACAAAAGCCAAGATGGTGAAGCGAACAAGGTCTTCTAAAGTCGTAACCGTTGTCCTGCATCTCATGCTCCGGCATGAGGCACCAGGTCAAGCACCAGGTCAGCACAGTCAGATGGGTATCGAGCAATGTGATCGGAAGTCAATGTGGGGGTTTCTCCTGCCCCCTCCCTCAGTTTTTGTAAGGCATGTGACATGTGTTTGTTGTCGATCAAGATGATGATGATCACTCTTTTTCATCAGTTAATGTGATTCGCGTAGAAACGTGATTCGTTATTGTGATTCATTAAGGCGTGTGACAAGGATCCGCTTGTATAACATATTTACTTATAAATTAGAGACAAGAATATAATAGTTGAAACAAGAATTCTTGAAGCAATTAAAGATACAGTGATTTTCTGGTGGCATAATTACACATTAAAACCTGGGAGAAATGGCACAAAAAGTGCAAGTCGACAGAATCCAAGACAAGACTGATAATACAGTTATGCTCAGAAAACAACAGGATTAGCCTAAACGACTAAATTATTCAATGATGATGATGAGGAGGGTGGCTCGAGATTTGAAATTCAAAGTGGGAAAGGAGATAGGGAAACCAGAGTGAACGAAATGTGAAACAATTGCGGGTTATTTGGTCGGGTAATTCACAAACCTGTGAGATATATGGCTGTTTTGCGTTTGCTTGCTCATAGCCTCTCGTAAATTATTTAAATTGTAGTTTAATTTGCGTATACATCTAGTCGATTAAAATTGTGAGCATAGACCGGCCTCTCGGACTACACAAAAACGGGAATTTCCGTTGACCTTGTTGGTCATATCTGGAAACGGCAGCGTCTTGCTCCAACCCTAATAAATCTATATCAACATCGGAATTCGATCGTTTCTTTGAATTTTCATAGGAGAATCTTTGGGCATATTAGCTTATCAGATTGCAGCCTAGAACATATAAAGGCTATATCTGCTATATCTGCAGCTGACCTGCAGTAGTGGCAACTAGCATTAGGACATGAACAAAGTTGTTCATGGGAAGCCATTAGTTCACCCAGGAGTTAGCGCTGAGAGTTCAGTTAATATGCGCCTGTCTTGACCCACAGTTTGACATTGTATAAAACAAGACCCTTCAGGCTTTGACCTTTTCACGCAGGGGTTTTTGACAAGTGGGAGGACTAGATTAGGACACCAAGGGCAGAGATTTACTCGGCAAAATGTCCAGACTCGTGTAACTCCAGGCACAAGGTTACGGGTCACATGAAATATAACTATGCCAGTTAGGACTAAAAAAAAATTAAAGTAGCCATAATGGAATTGGTAAAGAATATTACTGTCAAGTTCGCCAAGTGGGTTCCGGGGTGGGATTTTGAAAATAAAGACACTCTGTTCCTTAGCAAGCATGTCGTATCAGGTAAATATTAAAGGTTTTCTTGTGTTGTTTCGACAGGTACAGAGATCACCCCTAAAAGAGTGGCTCCCTCGTTGTGCTGTGGTTGGCAGGCAGACGTGACACTTTTCCACCCAGCACTCAACTCTCCTTGTGTGTAGAGCGAACTTTCTTTGTAATGCCGAGGTGCCAGGTTCGAAACCAACTAAAAACGTTTTTGTCAGCAGACCGCCTTGCGATGGTTAGGACAATGGTATCGAGAACGACCATCAGGGGTAATGATAAACTACTGAACGTTAAGGTAATTTGTCTGGTAAAATCACAGATACAAGAAAATAAAGAGAATCATCATGAACAAGACAGGCGACTAATTTTTTGTAAAAATAATTCGGACCTGCTTGTCAAAGGGCAGTGGATCTACTGTCCCCTTCCCCTCTCCCCCCCTTTTCCCACAACCCGCTACTCTAGTCGGACATGCTTGTTAAAGGACAGTGCAACAATCCCTCCCTCCCCCCTCCCCAACCTTTCCAACTGTCAGATACCAGAATCACCACAGCGTAAGTGCTGTTCGATCAATCATTCAATCAATCAAGTAGAAATTAGAAACAGACATTGTAACGAACATAAGAAAAATTAAATCGATTAATAACTGACATCTGATCTATTTCCTTGGCTGACGAGGACATGTGTCTTCACATCCCAAAAGTATGGATGTGCCCAATGCGGCCAAGGTGTAAAGATACAGTTCGTAGCTCTCTTGAATCGTATTTAACAACAAGGCCAGTGATGTAACAATTCCACAGGAGTTTGTTTATTAACAATATTGTCCAGTCAAACAGAACGAATCATTTCAATAACCAATATTATAGGAACACTTCATTATCTTATTACTGCATCTGCATTACTGCATTACTTATTATCTGTTCGTATGTCTCTCTATGAGTTCCTTAATCACTGTTCTAGCTAAACTCTAAGTTTAACTAATCTTCTCATGACCTGTTTTCTCAACTCCTCTCTCCAGTGGCTGGCTACTCAATGTCCTTCCCTGCTCTCTCAAACCCCTCGCCCTCACTCTCTTCCTCCTACTCATTCCCGCCCTTCCTACTCTCTCCGCGTGAGTTCTCCAGCACCCCCTGTCATCTGTCTCTGGTGGTCACGTTTGGATAAACGTATCTATTCAACCGGTCACAGTGCACCTGGTTTTATCTGTATCGCTGGTCGTGCCAGCTTTCTAATCACTGTTTTCTGTCATGCCAACCAGTGATGGATTGGCGTGCCTAGATGCTGTTCTGAAATGTATGCTTTTTCATTTAACCCCTTCTGTCCGCCTTCCTATTTCACTACAGACAGACACACTCCGTGATCCCATTGGCTGCAGGCGGCAAAGTGAAAGCCTTCCGGCTAATAAATAGAAGAAATAAACACAAATAACATGGAGACAGGTGCTGTATTTTGCACACGTGTACAGCATGCAAAGTTATGAGACATGCAGTTACATACATTTTGTTCTGTTTACACAAATGTGTCTTGTTTCTACGCGATAATGTGTATAAATAACATGGTATAACCAAGACACATGGCAAGTCCTCTGTTTTTTCCCCCTACAATTCAAAAACAGCTCAACAGAAGGGAAAAAAAAGCCAATGCACAGACTTATAAAACATCAAATTAGTCTGCGGGGTGTGGGGGCAATGCATTGTCATAAGTTGATAGGGAATTTCCGATATGCCTATATTCGCAATATTGATATGGTCTGCGAATTCCCTAAATAGTTTCTTCACTTCTCTCAGAGCCAGGTAGTACGTGTGAATTTACTTCTCTGGTTATCTCAGTGAACTCGATGTTCTCTCGGCGGTGGTATTCCTGTGCACATCTCAGAGGTTTCCATTAGTACTGACAATATATAGAAAGGTCACTTGCCAGAGGGGTCTCCATCCACACCTACACTGTCTCCAACCTTCCATACACAAATAGACCTTTGAAGGAAGACCTACATAACACATCAGACTTGAACAGTAATTATGAAAATAATATTTACAAGGACTTAACACTTTTCTCGAAATTGGTAAATGATCTGAAACTTATCAATGCCACGAAAAAAACATGCAGTAGGAATTACAGCCACTCTAAGTTCCTTCAGGTACAGTCAAATTTAAATGCATGCCACCTGAGGTTACTACGTGGTCAATAATATTTTATAAACAATTTCAGCACAGTAAACAATTGACAGCACATGAAATAGTCTACAGCACACCAAGCGGGTAATAAACAAAATATAGCCAACTAAACAATATACAGCAATATTAAGAATGTATGACCTAATACAACAAGTATAGCACATTACACAATATACAGCAATATTAAGAATGTATGACCTAATACAACATGTATAGCACATTACACAATATACAGCAATATTAAGAATGTATGACCTAATACAACATGTATAGCACATTACACAATATACAGCAATATTAAGAATGTATGGCCTAATACAACATGTATAGCACATTACACAACATACAGCAATATTAGTAATATATGACCTAATACAACATGTATAGCACATTACACAACATACAGCAATATTAGGAATATATGACCTAATACAACATGTATAGCACATTACACAACATACAGCAATATTAGGAATATATGACCTAATACAACATGTATAGTACATTACACAATATACAGCAATATTAGGAATATATGACCCAATACAACATGTATAGTACATTACACAATATACAGCAATATTAAGAATGTATGACCTAATACAACAAGAATAGCACATGGAAAACACATGAAACAATTAATATCAGCACAACTGGCTTCTTGACTTATCTTCTACTCTGGGCTGTAGAGACGGAACGAACTTACGATCTGACTTGTCTGGCATATTTACATTACCATCTCCCGCGCCCTACACCTAGTATGCGAATGTACACATAGAAGGACACCCATACACACCAAAGACCACCAGGTTGGAGTATGTCACTAACCTCTGCCCTAATGCCAGTCCCATGCCCTATGTGCCTAGTGAACTAAAGAGAATCACTAGCTCTCAGTTAGTCATGGTGATCGCATGACCAGAGACAATGTTTATACTGGCCTAAGGCACCAGAGCATCTCTCTGTGGTGATTCCTCTCTACAGGCTGGGATCCTCTAATGATATCATCCCCCACCCCCTTCCCCGAGACTGCTGTGCCAGCACGGATACGAAATCTGAAGCACCAGTATTGCACACGCTGCTTGTTCGCATGACCAAGGAATAACATCTGGTGAAGCACGTCTTCCAGGTAATGATAATCAACAGTCTAACCAACTTCTCATGTGAACAGTCAGTAGAGGTACCTTGGGTAACTGCTGTACTGAGGACTGCGCACGTATGAGAATGATCAAAATGCAGGGACGTCGACTGTGATCACATAACCCGGCTTGTTCCTGCGTGTGGGCAGCTGACTGTGCCCGTAGTAAGGATAATTCGTACAGTGTCTGGGATCTGCTTCAGTCTTACTTAGATAGAAACAGGTTCCTTTCAAGATAAGAGACCTCAGCCTCAACGATATGCTGGATGTCAGGTCTTTCAGTCGCCTTCGCTAACCAGCTCACCCATCAACCAGTCGAGAAGACAGCCAGTAAGTTATCGAACCTGCAATCCAACAGTCAAACTGCTAAACCTTTCACTAGCCAGCCACCAAATGAGGCAGCCAATCACCAAGCCACCCAATCAGCTATCCAACCAGCCAGCCACCCAATCAGCTATCCAACCAGCCAGCAACTGAATCAGCTATCCAAATAGCTAGCAACTGAATCAGCTATCCAACCAGTCAGTCACCCAATCAGCTATCTAACCAGTCAGCCATCGAATCAGCTATCCAACTAGTTAACCAGTGACTCAGCTATCCAACCACCTAGCCACCGACTCAGCTATCCAACCAGCCATCAAAAAAATCAGCTATCCAACCAGTCAGTCAGTGAATCAACAAACTGACTACCCAGCCAGACAGCGAGCCCAACAGACTAAACCACCACCAACCAACGAGCTAGCCAGACAACCAGCATAACTGACCAGCAGACCACTAAGTTCCGCTTACTGCAGGCGAACATGAGGGTCAGACATCCGTCCCATTCGCCCCGTAATCGAAAAACAACAATCAAACAACACAACAGTATACACACCAGTACCCATACGCATACTAACTCAAGCTAAACATAGATTAAAAAACAAAAGTGAGTACCTACCATTGGTTTCATAGTCACAAGTTGTGTGTTTTCCTGTTGATATGCTTTGTAAGCTGTGAATATGGAGACGGCCATAAACGTAAACTCAACCTTATACAGGGATACAACACTCTGGCTTCAATAAACAGTGAACAAACAATTCATGTAAAACATTCTGGCTTTATTTTAAAACATCAGTAGATCGCTCGTGATGGCACTGGTAGCAAATGAGATTTGATCTGGCTACGATTTGAGACGTCAGTGAGAGAATGTCTAGATTCTAGAGAGGGGGGAGTGTGAAAATAAAGGGAGAGAGAGAGAGAGAGAGAGAGAGAGAGAGAGAGAGAGAGAGAGAGAGACAGACAGACAGACAGACAGACAGACAGACAGACAGACAGACAGACAGACAGACAGACAGACAGACAGACAGACAGACAGACAGACAGACAGAGACTGAAATGGACTGAAAACACAAAGCGAGAGAATGAGACAGAAAAAAGGCGGACAGCGAGCAAAAAAGAGTGATAAAAAATATAGTAAGAGATAGAGTCAAAGAGATTCACAGAGTAAGAGGTAGGATGAGAGTAAGAGGTAGGGGTGAGAGTAAGGTAGGGTGAGAGTGAGAGGGAAAGTAAAAGAGCAGGAGACGACGAAAGAGATAGAAAGAAACGAACAAACTCTATTTTCAAAGGTTCACAAATCGCCCACGCCGGCCTGTTCTATATTTGGCCCTTCCAAACCTCCGTCTTTCACACAGCAGTTGTATTTTATCAGGAAAGCATGTTATGTTCATATAACAATATGCAAATTATGAATATAATTTATAAAAAAAAACCACACACACACACCCACACAAAAGCATGGGCGATAAAATACATGCGCGCACACACACATTCATACACAAACACACACGCCCGCCCACACGCGCCTCACTCATTCACTCACACACACGTACTTATGTACATGCAGGTATGTACAGACAGACAGACAGACAGACAGACAAAACAGACAGAAATAGGGAGACAGAATGAGAGAGATGTGTAAGACAGAATAGAGTCAGAGATACAACCCAAGAATGAGATATTCAAAGAGGTCTATCGCGACGCAGCAGTGAGAGAGAGAGAGAGAGAGAGAGAGAGAGAGAGAGAGAGAGAGAGAGAGAGAGAGAGAGAGAGAGAGAGAGACGGAATCACGCAGGCAAACTCAAAAACAGGAGGAAAAAGTAAGTTATACATTTTAAAATGCATTTTAAAAATTAATACGTTCGGGGAAAGTTTGACATTATCAAGCTGAGCAACGGGAAGTCCAGTAAACTGACTTCATCAACGGTGGGGGGGGGGGGGGGGGGGGGGGGGTGTGTGGTTTAAGTGGCTAAGAACTTTTGAGAGGTTTGACATTATCTGTAGATACGAAAATAAATTGAAACTGTCAGTCTTACCCCGTGTGAGCGTTGATACATTTGAGTGTGTCGTCCCACACACAGTAGGGGTCTTGGAGGCCAACACAGGCGCTAAGGAAATAGATGTTTGTGTATGAAAGTGTGGTTACAACAGCAGATTTAACCTTCTCCTTTTATTCTTTTCTTTTCTATCCGTTTGCTACTACTACTACTGCTGCTGCTGTTATTGCCACTGCTACGACAAATACAGTCACTACAAATATTGCTGCTACTACTACTTATGTTCTAATCCAGCTATCATACTGCTAGTAATGACTAATTCTTCTGCTACAGGTGCAACTAATACGAGACAGTAACTGTAAATACTAGCACAACTTTTACTGCTGCAAAAATTGCTGCTGCAAATGTTGCTGTTACTATCATTGCAACTACATGTGTTGATAATGTACGTGTGTTGATGCTGTACATGTGTGGAAACTGTACATGTGTTGATGCTGTACATGTGTGGAAACTGTACATGTGTTAATACCGTACATGTGTTGATGCTGTACATGTGTGGAAACTGTTCATGTGTTAATACCGTATATGTGTTGATGCTGTACATGTGTGGAAACTGTACATGTGTTAATACAGTACATGTGTTGATGCTGTACATGTGTGGAAACTGTACATGTTTTAATACTGTACATGTGTTGATGCTGTACATGTGTGGAAACTGTACATGTGTTAATACCGTACATGTGTTGATGCTGTACAGGTGTGGAAACTGTACATGTGTTAATATCGTACATGAATTGATGCTGTACATGTGTGGAAACTGTACATGTGTTAATACCGTACATGTGTGGAAACTGTACATGTGTTAATACCGTACATGTGTTAATACTGTACATGTGTGGAAACTGTACATGTGTGGAAACTGTACATGTGTTAATACCGTACATGTGTGGAAACTGTACATGTGTGGAAACTGTACATGTGTTAATACCGTACATGAATGGAAACTGTACATGTGTTAATACCGTACATGTGTGGAAACTGTACATGTGTGGAAACTGTACATGTGTTAATACCGTACATGTGTGGAAACTGTACATGTGTTAATACCGTACATGTGTGGAAACTGTACATGTGTTAATACCGTACATGTGTGGAAACTGTACATGTGTGGAAACTGTACATGTGTTAATACCGTACATGTGTGGAAACTGTACATGTGTTGAAACTGTACATGTGTTAATACCGTACATGTGTGGAAACTGTACATGTGTTAATACCGTACATGTGTGGAAACTGTACATGTGTGGAAACTGTACATGTGTGGAAACTGTACATGTGTGGAAACTGTACATGTGTGGAAACCGTACATGTGTGGAAACCGTACATGTTTGGAAACCGTACATGTGTGGAAACCGTACATGTGTGGAAACTGTACATGTGTGGAAACTGTACATGTGTGGAAACTGTACATGTGTGTGGAAACCGTACATGTGTTTTTTATTGTAAATGCTGCTACTAGTGCTACAGTCATTAACACCATTATTATTATTTTTTTTAATATAAATTAATTAATCATATTAGGAAACACAGCCATACACACACATGTGTGGAAACCGTACATGTTTGGAAAGTCAGAACGGGAAATAAAAAGAAAGTAAAGAAGCTAAAGAAAGAAAGAAAGAAAGAAAAAAGAAAGAAAGAAAGAAATAAAGAAATTAAGAAATTAAAGAAAGAAAGAAAGAAAGAAAGAAAGAAAGGAAAGAAAGAAAGAAAGAAAAGAAAGAAAGAAAGAAAGAAAGAAAGAAAGAAAGAAAGAAAGAAAGAAAGAAAAAGAAAGAAAGAAAGAAAGAAAGAAAGAAAGAAAGAAAGAAAGAAAAAAGAAAGAAAGAAAGAAAGAAAGAAAGAAAGAAAGAAAAGAAAGAAAGAAAGAAAGAAAGAAAGAAAGAAAGAAGAAAGAAAGAAAGAAAGAAAGAAAGAAAGAAAGACAGATAAGCAAGAAGGATATCTTTAAAGTCCTACTATCTGAAGCTCACCAACTGTATCCATAAAAACTTACAACCATAGCGGGCAGAAAAAGTTGACCATTATCAAAAAAGGAAAAGGGGGGGGGGGGAAACGCGCAGAATGTAGTAGTTCCAGAAAGTAAACCAGGAAATAAAAGAGTTAAACCTGCCTGTTTTTTTATGACCTGCCTCAACCAACAAGACACAGGAAACAACAGGTGTCCCTAACTCACCTGCAGGTTGTCGCTCTGTCGCAGCGATGGAGCGGGATGGACACCACCTTGTCCTGGACACAACCACCAGAAGGGGTTCCTGTCCAGTCCGGTGACCCAGCACTTTCAGGTTCACCACGGGGTCACCGACAGGCAGGACCTGGAGATCTTCAATAACCACCGACTCCACTTTGTGGATGCCTTTATTGATGGCCTTGATAATGCGCCCATCATCTGGTTGTCAAACGTGAAAGAACAGAACCGTTATCTTCAATATGGCAAGAAGTTCACCTGTACAGGGTCACCTCGACTTACGACCCAGTTCCGTTACAAGTAACAGGTCGCAAGTCGAATTTATTTTGTTCAACACTGTTTTTATTCAAACATGGTATAGAAATTGCATACAAAACATTAAAATATTCAATCTAGATACGTGTAATTGTTGCACGTCAAGTGGAAAATATGTAATATCTACTCTATTGCATCAGTTTGGAACTTGTAAACCGCAATGTTTGTGGTCTCATGTGCAGATGGTCGTCAGTCGCACAGAATGTTCAGTTCAGGTGATGGTGTTTACATCACTTCAAAAACTACTTCTAACTGCCTGCAGTTAAACCCCCGGTATATCGGGATTATGACAGGGTATTCATAACCCCCAATGGACAGACGTCACAAGTAAGGTATGAAAAATGATTCTGTCTGTAGCGCCATGTTGGCGTCTGTGGTTTAGGCATTGTGGCTGCCGGCTATTCGGCTGCGGACCACTTTGCACGAATTTTGACTACGGTATGGAGCGCCGTTCGACAGTAGCAGTGACAAACTACTGAAAGTAAACTTGTTTGAATAAGACCGAACACCCAATAAATTCTGATGTTAGTTGTGCCACTTCCTGTCAAGGATACGCAACTAACTTTAACTCTAGTCCACGTGGTGTGGCGTTGGTCAACACGTCGTCAACAGCATCCTGTCTCTGTCCAACATTCTGATGCAGATGTCTACTGGTCTCCTGCTGCCTCTCTTGCCGTCTAACTTTTCCCTTGTCACAACGTACGTCTGTGTTCCTCTTCTCTCGCCGTCCAACCTTTCCCTTGTCACAACGTACGTCTGTGTTCCCCTTCTCTCGCCGTCCAACCTTTGCCTTGTCACAACGTACGTCTGTGTTCCTCTTCTCTTGCCGTCCAACCTTTGCCTTGTCACAACGTACGTCTGTGTTCCCCTTCTCTTGCCGTCCAACCTTTGCCTTGTCACAACGTACGTCTGTTTTCCCCTTCTCTTGCCGTCCAACCTTTGCCTTGTCACAACGTACGTCTGTGTTCCTCTTCTCTTGCCGTCCAACCTTTGCCTTGTCACAATGTACATCTGTGTTCCCCTTCTCTTGTCGTCCAAGCTTTCCCTTGTCACAACGTACGTCTGTGTTCCCCTTCTCTTGTCGTCCAACCTTTGCCTTGTCACAACGTACGTCTGTGTTCCCTTTCTCTTGCCGTCCAACCTTTGCCTTGTCATAACGTACGTCTGTGTTCCCCTTCTCTTGTCGTCCAACCTTTCCCTTGTCACAACGTACGTCTGTGTTCCTCTTCTCTTGCCGTCCATCCTTTGCCTTGTCACAACGTACGTCTGTGTTCCTCTTCTCTTGCCGTCCAACCTTTGCCTTGTCACAACGTACGTCTGTGTTCCCCTTCTCATGACGTCCCCACAAAATCTGGACCACTTATGCCAGGGTAAAGTTGTCTTTGTGAGTCTAACTCCTTCATCTCTCCCTATCGTCTACCCGTGGTGTTGACCCCTTTCTTCTGTCTGCAGTCTCGAAATAATTGCTTAATAAAATGCCGAATGATAGGGGAAAGTATTCGTACTTAAAAATGGCGAGGGAGGGGCGGGAGGAGAAGAGGTAAAACTTACAAACACATGTACGAAAAAGGCATACATGAAATCGATTTGCACATACAATTAGAGAAAGAGGCACAAGATAAAATAGAATACCTCCTGTTCAGCCACACCACAGAAGACATTTTTGTTGACGAGAAAAATTATTTGAATTAGTGAACATGCAATCAAACCAGCCGATGCATCAGTAACGAAGTTTCACAGAAGGATGTTGAAAACATAATTATCCACAGACGGCCAATCTGGGTTATCTAATGTTGTCAAAGAAAATATGCCAATGTCCGTGGTGCTGGTTTAGATATCAGCTGCGAGAGACTTGACAACAGACCACATTGCGTTGGTTTCAAGGAGTGTCGAGAGACGAACATTCAGTGAGCAATGACAAACTAATGAACCTAACATGGCCCAGTGAATTCAAAAACAGCCAAAATATAAATGTTGCGATTGTTCTGGAAACTCCAGTACTAAACATGCAAGTAACTTAAGTTTAGAAAAACAAATACAACTCATTTCACAGATCAGAATTAGGCAGTCGTCATTTTTGGGCAGATTATTTAAAGAGAATAAGCGGAACACGTGATAACTTTAAAGGACTGATGGAAAGTGAAGTGGAGATGCACAAACAGGGAAGATTCATAGCCGATAGGAAAAGATGTACACCATAGCTTTCACAAGGCCTAGAGCTTTAGACATGCATGATCGCCCACACCAGTAGGCTACTTATCTGATCTTGTTAATGCTAGCAATAATAAATATTGGGGGTTATCTGGTACAAGCGGTATCCAGAAGTGTTTCTACAGCGAACGGTTTCCTCCAACTGGGCTTTCAGGAAACCCTGAGGCAATCGTAAAAACACGATGCACTGAACGTTGTGTGGATTAGTTGGCGTTGGTAGAAAACTGGATTGGCGTGTTTGTTGATAGAGTATCATTTACATGCACTTTATTCTTCAGATGGCAGCCGTCGTGGTGTAGAGGCTAACGCTCAACTGCGGGTCAGAAGGTCCGGACAATTTTCAGAAACAACCTTGGCAATCAGGTCGACGGCATTAAAGGTTTACATGCGTACAAGGTAAAGTCCTGGGAAGTCAAGGCGGCCGGCATGAGGTTGAAGACATCAACCATCAAGTGCCGAATGCTCTGTACAATAGAAGTCTAGCCTTATACAATGGAGACTGTGATGTTTTTTGGGTTTAATTTGTCCTTGTTTATCGTTGAAATTTTTGTCTGAACTCGCACCAGAAGGTCAATATTCGCCATTCTTCAGCCATGGTCGCGAATCTTCAGACAAGAAAAAAAAAGATGGACTTTTTCCAAATGCTGAAATTAAGGAACGGTTGTCCATTTAAGCAAAAATGCCTCCAAACATTGTCACAGTAAATCAGTGTATACACATCATTTGATGACTATGTGTTTGGACACTTTCGAAAAGTTTAAACAAATAAATAAAAAGAACAACATTGATTCACTTCTTCACACACACACACTCACTTACACACCCACACGCACATACACAAACGCACGCACGCAGGCAAACACACACACACACACAAAAAACACACACACACAAACAAGTGCTGGTGAAAAGTCTGCAAATGCTGAGGAGAAGGGACACCACCACAATGTCACAATCGGCGCTGACCTTCCTTTCAAATGTTAGCTATTTCATTTTTCCACCCAAAAGATATCTTTTAAAAAAAAAAAAGTTACCATATAGACCTACAGTACATTGAAGTCACCAGGACGAGGCAGTCTCTATGACAATGATACAGTCATAGTAAGTACAGTGGTTAGTTGAAACGTAATTAATATGTATTTACAATGATCGCCCAGATCGATTGTCAGGTGACTTTCCTTTTTCACACACCACAACGGATCGACATCGACATAAAATCCTTCCATTTTCACAGAGCCACATCAATGGCCGCTGTCTTCTCTAAAATATCGACACCAATTTTGTCTTCTCCCAACAACAAGACACGTTCCCTTTTAATTTAATCAGGCCAAGGCATCTGGGAACTTGTTCCCGCCCTCCTCCTGGCTATTTGCTATCATATCTGTCAGTTATCACTGGGTTTAAAGTTTATTTCTCATCCTAACCTCCATACGTTTTGACTGTCATAAGTTGACAGATAATTAGTAACCATGAAAATGAGATGTCTGAACCAGTTTGCAAGGGGTTACCAGAACAGATAAAATCAGGAATTAGGTCACAAGATAATAAAGTAGCAAAATACTAATCCTATATTACATGCAAAGACAACAAATCAAATGTTTTTCCCATTTAGAGAGAATGTCTTGTTACGAAACACCATACAAGTCATACACTAAAAGATGAGAGATTCGTTCAGCGGAAGGTGGACCAAGAAAAAGATGGAATAACATCACGCTGTGTACGTCGTCGAGGCGATCAGATGAGCGAAAGGGTAGCATCTTAAATCTCCTCTGACACTCGAAGCGGTAATAGAGAAGAGAAAGTGATGAAGAAGAAATAACAGTTCCAAAATCGTTTACTGCAATGTGTTTACATCACCATTTGTCGAACTGTGATTTATTGTTGTCGCACTCTATCATGTCAAATAATGGAAGCAGCTATGTCAAATATCCTAGCTAGCAAAGCGGAAATTCTACAGATGCACTTGACAACAAACGAGGCAATAAAGTAGAAAAGAAACATTATTATTATTAGTTCAACACAAAAATATTTGTGCAGGCTATTACGATATAATCGTTGACCTAACCTCATAAACGGTCAAAAAACAATGAGAAACAGCCACACCCAGCGTTGGCTAACAGCTACTTGTGACAAATGCCGTCACCTTGTCAAAAGAAATCACCACTGAAATTCTCTGCTGGAAAAACTACCGCACAAGGCGCTGTGCTGTGTCCATAGATAGATAGAACATTGAGGTTCAAATGGATATGAATGACTGACATATGGGTGGAGGCAGACGCCATGGGATGCGAGGCGTGGCCAATTAGAGCGTGAAAATTGCTTTCTTAGAATAAGGAATGTTTAGGACAAGCATCGGTGGAGCGGGTTGCAGGGTTGGTTTTAGAATTGCTTGGATGCGCAAACTTTCGCAGGCACCTGGAAAAGAGACCAAAATCTCAATCCATTTCACACTCTCATAAATTAGCACGAATACAGGGGCACGACAACCTCAATTCAAACACTTTGAATTCCCCCCCCCCCCCATGCCCCCCCCCCCATCCCCCACAGCCACCCCCCCCCACCCCCCCAAAGGAAGAAATAAAAAACCTTACATTTGTAAAGATCCTATTAAAATTATCTGGCTCGCTTGTTTTCACAGCGCCATCTATAGTTCTCTCTTTAAATTTTTTATGCATATAATACTAATTTAAATATAGGTTAGTTGCGTATCCTTTACAGGACGTTGCAGAACCAACCCCAACAGCCCCTGGCTGTTGTGTGTGTGTTTTTTGAGGAAAATTAACGTTTACTAGTTTGCCATTGCTTTCTTGATACCACTGTCGAAACCAACGCAAGATGCATAACGCACAGCTGGGATCGAACCCGGCATCCTGGAAATACGAAGCGTTCGCATCGACTTAGCCACATAGCCGACTAACTAAAATATACTGTTATTATTGTGCGTCTAAACAAGACTTGGACCCTCGATAAATGAAAGCTACCCAGAAGCGAGAGATGACTCACTTGAAACTGGTAAAGACCAACAGGGGCATACCGCCTGCTGTCGGCACGGCGTCGTTCATCAGTGGGTGTCTCTTCGCGAAGGTCAAGGTCTCGTGGCTGATCTCCATACTGTCTGCGACACACTGTGGGAACACAAATCAATTAATCAGCATCATATTAAACCACTTCTGCCGTCAAGCGTCGTCGGAAGGAATAATTTGCGATCCAGAACATGCTGTCTACCACTGGCTTTGTTATGCCGTTAGGGCGTAAAGTGTCTTTAATGTTGTCCATCCATTTTATTCATGGTCGTCCTCTTGATCTTGTAGCTGATCTTCTAAGATGTAGTGCCTGTGATGGTACTTTATGCTGCTGCATTCTAACGAGATGGCCAAACCACCGAACAGCTGTTTCCTCAAAAAGTCTAGTACAAGGCGTCTTTCCCACAATTTGTCTGACAGTGTCATTGTTCACTCCATTTCTAATAAATAGGTTGTCGGCACATTGAATAATACGTATACCGTCTCACTGACAAGCATACCATCTCACTGACACGTATACCATCTCACTTACAAGTATACCATCTCACTGACACGTATACCATCTCACTGACACGTATACCATCTCACTGACACGTATACCATCTCACTGAGAAGCATACCATCTCACTGACACGTATACCATCTGACTGACACGTATACCATCTCACTGTCAAGCAAATCATCTCACTGACACGTATACCATCTCACTGACACGTATACCATCTCACTGACACGTATACTATCTCACTGACACGCATACCATCTCACTGACACGTATACCATCTCACTGACACGTATACCATCTCACTGAGAAGCATGCCATCTCATCGACAAACATGCCATCTCATCGACAAGCATGCATCTAATCGACAAAAATACTATCTTATCGACAAAAATGCCAACTTATCGACAAGCATGTCATCTCACTGCGAAGCATGCCATCTTATCGAAAACATGCCATCTTATCGACAAGCATAATATCTCATCGACAAGCATGTCATCTCACTGAGAAGCTTGCCATCTCATTGAAAAACAAGCCATCTCATCGACAAACATACGTGTTGTGTGTAATCCGAAGATTCACACAAGGACCGACCGCTAATGAACACGAGATACGACGAGAGACAAGACGTCACCTACCGACAGAAGAATTGGACAGAATCCAGTTACAAGAAATGTAGGAAGGGCAGAGGCTTGTATTGATATGGTCTTGATGCCGCAGTTCGCAGGAGAGCAAAGTCTCTGAGCCCCATGTTGGAGGAAAGTAATTATCCTACCGTCGTTAAGTACAGTGATCGTAACATATTCATTTCATGGACACAAATTATATCTGTGGAAAATAGTTGAATAAACGTTCTGATATTGTCTTTCAACGACGTGTTCTCAAATGCATAAGTTCCAACGGTTGACCTTGTTGGTGGCATTTTCTGCCTGTTGTTGGGGTTGGCGTTTGCTACCCCCTGGAGTACCAGGTTACATGGTACGGTATTGACATGGGACGATATTTAAACAGAACATCGCCGTACAATACGATCTCATCAAAAAACATGTCATCATCGACAAAGATACCATCTCATCGACAAACATACTACTTCATCGACAAACATACCATATCATCGACAAACATACCATCTCATTGACAAACATGTTATCTCATCGACTAACGTACCATCTCATCGACAAAATTGCCATTTCACTGACAAACATGCCTTCTCGTCGACAAACACTCCATATCATTGAAAAGCATGCCATCTCATCAAAAGTTTTGCCATTCTTATCGACACACATACAATCTCATCAACAAGCATGCTATCTCACTGACAAGCATGCAGTCTCACTGACAACAAGCATGCTATCTCACTGACAAGCATGCTATCTCACTGACATGTAAACTATCTCACTGACAAGCAAACCATCTCACTGACAAGCATACCATCTAACTGAGAAGCAAACCATCTCACTGAAAAGCATATCATCTAACTGACAAGCATACCATCTCACTGACAAGCATACCATCTCACTGACAAGCATACCATCCCACTGACAAGCATACTAGCTCACTAACAAGCATACCATCTCACTGACAAGCATACCATCTCACTGAAAAGCATACCATCTCACTGACAAGCAAACCATCTCACTGACAAGCAAACCATCTCACTGACAAGCATACCATCTCACTGACAAGCATACAATCTCACTGACAAGCATACCCTTTCACTGATAAGCATATAATCTCACTGAGAAGCACACCATCTCACCGAAAGCATACTATCTCTTTGATTAGCATACCATCTTACTGACAAACACACCATCTTACTGAAAAGCATGCCACCTCATCGCCACGCACACACTATCATCGACAAAAGTCTGGGAGAACAGACCAGACAGAGCCACCAACTCTATCTACACAAAAGTCTGGGACAACAGACAAGACAGACTCACCAACTCTGTCTACACAAAAGTCTGAGACAACGTATTAGACAGACTCACTAACTCAATCCCCACAAAAGTCTGGGACAACAAAACTCCTCAACGTTATCGACACAAAAGTCTAAGACAACAGACAAGACAGACTCACCAATGTTGGCTGAGACAACAGACAAGACAGACTCACCAGTGTTGGCTGAGACAACAGATAAGACAGACTCACCAATGTTGACTGAGACAACAGACCAGACAGACTCACCAATATTGGATGAGACAAAATACAAGACAGAATCACAAATGTTGGCTGAGACAACTGACCAGACAGACTCACCAACTCTGTCTACACAAAAGTCTGAGACAACTGACCAGACAGACTCACCAACTCTACCTACACAAAAGTATGAGACAACAGACCAGACAGACTCACCAACTCTATCTACACAAAGTCTGAGACAACTGACCAGACTGACTCACCAACTCTATCTACACAAAAGTCTGAGACAACTGACCAGACTGACTCACCAACTCTATCTACACAGACTCACCAATGTTGGCTGAGACAACAGACCAGACAGACTCACCAATGTTGGCTAAGACAACAGACCAGACAGACTCACCAATGTTGGCTAAGACAACTGACCAGACAGACTCACCAATGTCGGCTGGGGCTTGGGCGTGTCCTGCTCACTGACGGACAACCAGTTATGTACGTATGAGGCCTGACCTTTGAACCTGCCATTAAAGACGTCCTCGATACTAGAGTACATGAAGGCACAGACGGCAGATCCTCTGATGCTGTTTCTGTTTCCCAAAAACATAGAGAGAATACTTATCCAATGAGAAGTTACTAACAGAGAATACTTATCCAATGAGAAGTTACGAACAGAGAATACTTATCCAATGAGAAGTTACAAGCATAGAATACTTATCCAATGAGAAGTTACGAACAAAGAATACTTATCCAATGAGAAGTTACTAAAAGAGAATGCTTATCCAATGAAAAGTTACAAACAGAGAATACTTATCCAGTGAGAAATTACAAACAGAGAATGCTTATTCAATGAAAGTTACAAACAGAGAATGCTTATTGAATGAGAAGTTACAAACAGAGAATACTTATCCAATGAGAAGTTACTGACAGAATACTTAGCCAATGAGAAGCTACTAACAGAGAATACTTATCCAATGAGAGGTTACTAACAAAGAATACTTATCCAATGAGAATTTACTAACAGAGAATACTTATCCAATGAGAGGTTACTAACAACTCAATTACTTATCTGCGAACGATAGGAGTGTCGCCACTAGACGCTAGACTGTCGGCAAGAAGATCTCTTTCTTCTTCTCCTCATACTTTTAATGTTAACCGGTTATAAACTCAGGCAGAAAGTCTTGGTTGCTCGTCTACTTCTGTGTTTGTTCCAGAACTGGAGTAATGCGTGCACATCAGGTTTCTAGATCTGGCTTAATTGCTTGCAGACTGTTAGTTCCTGCCTCTCAGACAGATGTGCTCAGACTGTTAGTTCCTACCTCTCAGATAGATGTGCTCAGACTGTTAGTTCCTGCCTCTCAGACAGATGTGCTCAGACTGTTAGTTCCTGCCTCTCAGATAGATGTTACCAGACTGTTAGTACCTGCCTCTCAGACAGATGTGCTCAGACTGTTAGTTCCTGCCTCTCAGACAGATGTGCTCAGACTGTTAGTTCCTGCCTCTCAGACAGATGTGCTCAGACTGTTAGTTCCTGTCTCTCAGATAGATGTCTTCTCTTCTTCTTTCGTTCGCATGAAATAAATTGTTTATATCTGCAAAGCAGTCTCTTGTATGAATTTCACTGTCTTTTGTAATTCACTAAGCGGCCCGTAAAGTTTGACTTCCACAAGTGTCTATTTTGGCCAAATGTTTTGCCTGAAAGCGTTGAATATGGGACATTCTTGAAGGATGTGATCTGTTGTTTCAGGTGCCAGTCCACAAGTACACATGGCCGATTGGCCAATCTTAAATTTGTTGTACATGTGGGAGCGAAGTCTATTGTGCCCTGTTCTAAGGCGAAGGATAATAACTTGCTCTGGTCTGTCCATAATATGGTAATCATCTTGTGCCAGTTTCGGTGGCATTCTGATTGATTTGATCATTCTCTTCTTCTGTTGATAAGAGACTGGTGTGTCAGGTTGTTCTTCAGTTGCACCTTCCTTAGCTAGTTTATCAGCTTTTTCGTTTCCGGGAACTCCACAGTGAGAAGGTATCCACTGCATTACTAATTTACAGTGGTTGCCTAGTTCAGATAATAGTGTCCGTATGCTTGGTAATTTTCCAGACTGGAGTGACTGAAGTACTGCTTTTGCATCTGTCAGGAATACCACTGGTTGTGAAAAATACCCTGCATTTAGTAGTTTCTCTACCGCTATCTTGATGGCTTGAACTTCTGCATCATAGTTGTGACAGTGCTTTCCCGTTGGTAATTTGGCTGTATCCCTGGTATTATTAGGATACTCAATGTACACTCCCGCACCTCCGTTTCTGACTGCGCTTTCTGCTGACCCATCTGTGTAAACACGGACCCAAAGGTTCTGCTGGTATTCATCATCAAGTAAACTGAGGGTGGCTGTTTTGCGCTGCACACAGTTTTGTTCTTCCTTGTCAAATACCCCTTTCACTTCAGTCTTGATGTGTATTGGAAACTTATACTCCTCTCTCCAGAGGGTCCGTTCTGGGACAGCATTTAAGGATCTATCAGTTGCAGGTAAATTAGTGGTTTGTCTGCCGAGCCGTTTGGCCTGGTGGATAAAACTACTTCTCTTTAGTCGTCCCAAAGCTAAATTTTTGAATCTTTCATTCATAGGGTTCAGATAGATGTGACCAGACTGTTAGTACCTGCCTCTCAGACAGATGTGCTCAGACTGTTAGTTTCTGCCTCTCAGATAGATGTGACCAGACTGTTAGTTCCTGCCTCTCAGACAGATGTGCTCAGACTGTTAGTTCCTGCCTCTCAGACAGATGTTCTCAGACTGTTAGTTCCTGCCTCTCAGACAGATGTTCTCAGACTGTTAGTTCCTGCCTCTCAGACAGATGTGCTCAGACTGTTAGTTCCTGCCTCTCAGACAGATGTGCTCAGACTTGGAAAGGCACGTCGATCCTGTCTCCAGTGGCCAGGTCTCTGTTAGGGAAGTTGATCTGAGGATGACCGCGTACTGGGGTTGACCGGTACTGACCGGGAGCACACCCGGTCTTGATGCACTACCACATGATGATGATGATGACGTACATTTGGCAGCATGGGCCCCTGTGGTGTAGCAGCTAGATACTTGGCATCAGATCCAAAAGTCGTGGGTTCACATCAAATCCAAACGATGTTGGCTCCCAGTCTTAGATGGGTACAAGGTAAAATTCCTGGGAAGTAAAGGCGGTCGGTGTAATGCTGATAACATCACCAGTTTCAGACAGTCTATAAAATAAGATCTGGCCCTATTTGCCCAATACCCATGAAGGCGTGGAAAAGGGTCAACTTTTTTTTTTTTTTTTTTTTACATTCGGCAGCAACCCATTCCTTTCTGTGGAAAGTTCAATTATGTTTTAACAAAACTTCGTGTGTGAGCCGGTTATTTCTGAGCTCTAAAAAAGGATGTAACAGGTGCAACAAAACATGGTAATCTATGGAAGCCGACACGCATGACCTGGTGGTGACTTACTGTGGTGTATTAAAGACGCCATAGATCATGTCTGACCGGTTGCCACTATCTGAGGTCGGTCTGTAATTGCCTTGACCGAATTCTGTGGTGGACTCTGAAACATGAACAACGGTACTTGTCACAGTCATCTGTCTGTTTTTATCTGATTAGTACTGGAGGATATACCAACAATTAACTATTTCTGACAACAATGAACTATCTAGGACAACCGTGAACTCTTTATGACAACGACAAATATTTCTGACAATAATAAACTATTTCTGACAACGTTGAACATTCAAAAAAAGTTACATTCATTCTCTCTCTGAAAGTGAAATATACAAATATGCGGACTCACGTATCTCATCAAAGTAAAACGGGTATTCCCCAGGAATGGAGCAATTGAGCCTGGCCTTGAAGAACGAGGTTAAGGTGTTGTGTGGTGTGGACATCCCTCGGTCGTTCTTACAGACACGGCCGACCCGCGAGAAGATTGCCTGTATGTCGGACAACACACATACATATTAACTCGTAATATATCACCATTATGTGAAGTACCGATATGGTTGAGTGGTGACAGTTGGCTATCTAACACAACCACTAATGTCGGATTGGGCCTATGTTGTTGCACGGATTACGCTATGTGACCAAACCATTTAGATATGCATCAGCTATTCTTCTTCGCGTTCACCAGCTGTACACTCTGGTAGAAAGTTCTGGTTGCTCGTCCATCACTGAACTGCAGTCCTGCTCCAGAACGAGTGTTGCGTGTGCATAAGTTTTACAGATCTCATTCTCTTGAATACAGACTGTTGGTTCCTTGCCTCTCCGGCAGATGCACTCCGACTTCAAAGGAAGCTCCCCAATTAGTCGACTCTTACGACATGCTTTTGGGGAGGCAGTGGGTCTATTCTTGTTTTCCCCTACAATGGGGCCCCGGAACCCACACGGGGGGCATCAGCTATTTACCGCCTTGATATTTTCCTAACAACTGTGCCAGATTGTACCAAAGTTAAAAATCACATCACCCCCTCCCCCCTTCCCCCCCCCCCAAAAAAAAAAAAAATGTCCACGAATGCCTACATCTATCATCTGTTTCTCGAGGAACTGTCCCCTTGGTTTCACTGTCCGTTTCTGGTCAATAAGGCCAGTCAAAGTAGTCTTGTTCACGCTAATGGCGCACCTGGCATATCATGACTGAATCATACTTTTATGAATTATTCGACAACTCGATGGCCTATATGGACAACATCACGCCGGTCGCCTTTACTTTTCAGTTTTGAAGCAGATGAAAATCCAGCATGAGGCAAATTCCTCCCGTCCTTGGTGTTCTGAGTTACAAGAGAAACAAGGTTTCTAATATCCCGAGGTGCTGCTGAGCTTGTCTGCTCACGGCTCACGTGTGACGTGCGACATTTACAACTACCCATCCTGCAGCAAGAACCCGATCCATATGGAATTACGACTCGTGGCAATCAAGTCGAAGCTCTTGACTGTAAAGCTTTTTTTTATGGATGTTTGTGTCGTTGATGACATCACGGAGAGAGTAACGATTGTCAATCAAATACAGCTCTAGCCCTATATGCCCAATCGCTTGAAGGTGTAACCAAGTGTCCTTCATGTCACTGGTGGGTGTTCAGAATAGTATAAAACGCCAAGAACAAACAAAGCAAACAGGGCATTTACCAGGCTACAATTAACAATCTAAGAAAGTCAAAGAGACGAAATTAAAGACAAAACTCAGATTAATTTGAGAATAACACAACATTTAGGAATACTGTTGTACACCAGTGAGTAGAAAAATGACAGCGGGAATTGCAGATAAACTAGCTAAATTTTCAAATAAATGTTTAGGGAGAATTCTGCGAATATTTTGGCCAAACAGTATCAAAAACGATGATCTAAGAGGAAGAAAAAGAAACTGTTGATCACTGGGAAACGGTATCAACAGAAGAAGACTGAGATGGCTTGGACATGTTTGCACTTTGACAAGGATTTACTTTCCACTGGACGGCAGATAGAAAAACGAGACATGGATGATCTAAGAAGAAAACCTACAAAAGAACACAGGAAGGGAAATGAATGAATGTAAAATGAGATGGGATATTGTGGGCTAAAAGCAACAGACCGGTGTCAATGGCGATCACTTGTGAATGCTGTATGTGTCAACAGCGACATCAAGAGGGCGCGTACAGATGTGTAGCTGTGCTGCATCCTTCAGTCTCATAGGACTTTACTGCACTGCAGACTTCAATGGAAGATGTTACTAGTGAAAACCTCAGGTAATACACCGCTAGATTCATTGTTTTATAGACACATCGATACTCAACCGGCCACCTGTATTTCTCATGAGATTTCACTGTACCAAAATTAGGCTGTGTTGGTCTTAGGGTCAAAGGAAATTATTTTAAAAAATTCCTCGATGTGGATTGTTGTTGTTGGTGTTGTTGTTCTTCTTCTTCTTATTATTATTCGTCTTTTTCTTCTTCTTCTTCTTTTTCTTCTTCTTCTGCTTCTTCTTCTTCTTTGTCTTCTCTTCTTCTTCTTCACTTTCTTCTTCTCCTTGTTTTCTTCTTCTGCTCATCCTTTTTCTTCTTCTTCTTTTTTCTTAGAGTTTACCGGCTGTAAACTTCGATACAAGTTCTAGCTGGCCATCCATTTCTTTGGTCTTGTCGCAGAACTAGAGTTTTATGTTACATCAGTTTGACAGATCTGACATCACAACCAAGAGCATCGGGCAACAGGTGAAAGTTTAGCAACTGAGCCACTGCACTGACCAGAAAATAAAGCTGCACTGAACAAGGATAAACGACTTTCACAGAGGCATTATGCAAATACAAGTAATTAGCCAGAATTATGCAGTACTATAAGACCAAATGTAAAAGTTTCAGTAACACATGGTAATTTGTGTGACACACACGGACACAAGATGACAACACACGACTGTATGTTGGTTTGAACAAAAAGAGTTAACGATCAGAGAAAGACATGGGCCTACCTTGCCACAGTTGATGTTCTCTAAGGCTGTCTCGCCGAAGAAAAAGTAAACTTTGTCGTTGTTGGCGTGTGAGCTGACGAAATGTGGTTCTGTGGAGGAAATTGGAAAGAAATGTGGAGTTTTGGGGAAATGTGAGAGAAAAGTAGAGTCTTGGGAAAAGGCGAAAGAAAAGTGGAGTCTTTGGGAGAAGCGAGAGAAAAGTGGAGTCTTGGGGAGAAGCGAGAGAAAAGTGGAGACTGGGAAATGTGAGATAAAAGTGGAGACTTGTGGAAGTTGAGATGAGTTGAGTTGAGTCAAGAATTGACATTACAGCATTCCGGGCATTCCCATGAGGTCTCCGTCTTCATCTTTAGCAGCCAACGCAGAGTTCCAATACTAATGATACCGGTCACAATCTTGTTATATGTCCGTTTTGCCTTTCCTCTGAGTGTAGTGAGCCGGCCAGATCCTCTTGTTACACCCAGGTGCCTCATTCTCTCCAGGCCATAAAAATATTGTTTTTCTACTGATTCCGTTGCTTGTTCCCAAAGGGTCCTAACCACATTTGCCTTGTCTTGTATAATTCACCACCCACTGGTGCAGATCAAGCCAATCTTTCTGCCTGTTCAAACCCACCACGCCGGCTTTGCCTGGAGAAAAGATCCAACGTATCCTCACTACCCGTGAACTTCCCAGTGAAGCTTGCCACTCAGCTTGAAGCATTCTTGTCTTCACCTTTCTCAGCATGCTTTCAGAGTCTGTTACAGATACGACATGTGTATGCATCTTGTTCTCTAGCCACCGGAGAGCTGCAGTTACCGCCTCCACCTCTCTTCTCATGCTAGATGTTTTGGTGTAATCTTGGAGAAATGTGAGGAAAAAGTGGAGTCTTGAGGAGATGTGAGAGAAATGTGTCTTGGGGAGATGTGAGAGAAAAGTGTCTGGGGAGAGATGTGAGAGAAAAGTGTCTGGGGAGAGATGTGAGATAAAAGTGTCTTGGGGAAATTTGAGAGAAAAGTGGAGTCTTGGGGAAATGTGAAAGAAAAGTGTTTTGGGGAAATTTGAGAGAAAAGTGGAGTCTTTGGGAAATGTGAGAGAAAAGTGGAGTTTTGGGGAAATTTGAGAGAAAAGTGGAGTCTTGGGGATCCTGATGGGTTGATTGTGATGCAGTAGAACTGAGATGTCTCTCAGATCTGCTTGACACTGGGTGACTTAAGACAATAAGATTTGATGTGTACAATGTGTTTTTTTTTTAAAGGAAGGCTGGTTAACCGGGACATATGTCGGTTTTCATAATGGTCATACACACACACACACACACACACACACACACAGTGAGAGAGAGAGAGAGAGAGAGAGAGAGAGAGAGAGAGAGAGAGAGAGAGAGAGAAGAAAGAAAGAAAGAATTTAGAATCAGGGTGACGCAGATATAGGCAGAAACCAAGGATTTTAGGAAGATATGTAATAAGAAGACTTAAAGCAAAGGTCGTTATGGGAACAAGATGGGAGAGAGACATTGAGAGAGAGAGAGAGGGAGAGAGAGAGAGAGAGAGAGAGAGAGAGAGAGAGGAAGGGGGTCTGAGAGATAAAAAGACACATCTCACAAAGGGTGAGATAGATACACATACAGGATCACAGACAGGAAACATATAGGATGAGAAACGTCAAGGCAGAGGATAGAACTGGTGACCACAATTGTTAATTGTGCACCGAAGCATAACCGCGAGACAGTGAAGGCGGAAGGGGGTGATATATGAACTCAGCATTCAGAAAGACAGAAGCACAGGTATTGCCGCTCCGAGGCTCATCAAAGATGGCGCCTGACATGTGTGCTCACCATTCAGGAAGAGGGTGTCAGGATGATATGTCCTTATCAAGGTGGTGTCGTTGAATTTCAGCACGATGAGGGGATCTCGCTCGACGGCGTCAGCGGCTGTGGCGGCAAAGATTTTCCCGTCTGTGGGCAAATCAACAAGGTGATCGTAGCTGTATGTGTTTGTGTGTGTGTGTGTGTGGAGAGAGAGAGAGAGAGAGAGAGAGAGAGAGAGAGAGAGAGAGAGAGAGAGAGAGAGAGAGAGAGAGAGCTAAGTATTTTTGTGTTTTTGTGTAGTATTGTTTCATTTGTATGTGCTGATGAAGGCTCAAAATCCGCAAACGTTCACGTTTTGTTTGTATTTGTTATATTGTGAAGCTTGCTTATATTCTTTTCGTTCGGTTTTATATCTTTTCTTGATTTACATATATACACAGTACAGCCATTGTCTGTCTGTCTGTCTGTCTGTCTGTCTGTCTGTCTGTCTGTCTGTCTGTCTGTCTGTCTGTCTGTCTGTCTGTCTGTCTGTCTGTCTGTCTGTCTGTCTGTCTGTCTGTCTGTCTGTCTGTCTGTCTGTCTGTCTCTGAATATAAATAATACCGTCTGTCAGCAAACCAACAATGGAATCTTGGTTGTAGAATGTGTATACGAGACAACCACAGTCTGTCTGTCAGTCTGTGACTATCTTTCTGTCTGTCTGCCTTTATATGTGTGTATGCATGAATGCGTGCTTGCGTAAGGAAGACAGCATATGTGTGTGTGTGTGTGTGTGTGTGTGTGTGTGTGTGTGTGTGGTTTAATGGCTGTCGCAGCATATTATTATTATTATTATTATTATTATTATTATTATTATTATTATTATTATTATTTTTTTATTATTATTATTATTATTAAAATAAGACTCGCCGATTTGTTCGCTGGTTCTTCTTTTTCTGTCGGTTTCTTTATTTCCCTACATGCTGTGAAAGGATTTATTGTGTTAAAGCCGTGTATATGTTCATTGCAGCGAAGTGTCGCCGCAGGAGAAAACAAAAAGAAAGCAAGCTCTAACACATATACACTAAGAGATATCCATAAGAGATATCCACTAATACATATCCACTAAAAGATGTCTACTAACACATATCCACTAATACATATCCACTAACAAATGTCCACTAACAGATATCCACTCACACATATCCACTCACACATATCTACTAACATATATCCATTAACACATATCCATTAACACATATCCACTAACACATATCCACTAACAGATATCAAGTAACACATATCCACTAACAGATATCAACTAACACATATCCACTACACATATCCACTAACAGATATCCAGTAACACATATCCACTAACAGATATCCAGTAACATATCCACTAACAGATATCCAGTAACACATATCCACTAACAGATATCCACTAATAGATACCCACTAACACATATCCACTAAACACATCCACTAATACATATCCACTAACAAATATCCACTAACACATATCCACTAACACATATCTACTAATCATATCCACTAACACATATCCACAAACAGATATCCAGTAACACATATCCACTAACAGATATCCACTAATACATATCCACTAACATATATCCACTAAAAAGATCCACTAATACATGTCCATTAACAAATATCCACTAACACATATCCACTAACGCATATCCACTAACCATATCCACTAACACCTATTCACTAACACATATCCACTAACAGATATTAACTAACAGATACAAACTAAGAGATATCCACTAACAGATATCCACTAACACATATCCACTAACACATATCCACTAACACTATCCACTGACACATATCTACTAACACATATCCACTTTCACATATCCAGAAACACATATCCCCTAACACATATCCACTAACACATTTCCATTAACAAATATCCATATCGGCACAATGACACTCAGAGGACACTTACTTACCCGAATATATTGCTGTGGAGCTGTAGTTAGGGTTATAGGGGCTGATAGCTTTTCCAGATTCGCTGTCGTTAATCATTTTGAAAGTGCCATTGCTCTGAAATAATTATCAATATATATTTATATCGATGTTTGTCACATATGGACTCGGAAACTACTGATCCGATTTCACTAAAATTTTCAGGATTTCTTTGTTTTGAAATCGGGATGCTGCCTGTCATGGTTTGAAACCGGGATGCTGCCTGACATGGTTTGAAACCGGGATGCTACCTGTCATGGTTTGAAACCGGGATGCTGCCTGTCATGGTTTGAAACCGGGATGCTACCTGTCATGGTTTGAAACCGGGATGCTGCCTGTCATGGTTTGAAACCGGGATGCTACCTGTCATGGTTTGAAATCGGTGGCGACATTTATTTGGAAAATTTTCTAAACTAATATTTTCATTTTAATGACATTTTATTAACACCACGTTCGTAGAACGTGCAGGCGAAGTAGTCGTGACACGCCCCTCCATTTGTTTCCTTGTATTTCACAGAGAAACGGCTGGCCGAACAGTTAGCTACCAAGAGCCACAAAAAGGAACCCTAAAGTGTTGATGCGATCAAAAAAGACAGACGAAGTCGTCTACGGACAGGTCAATGCTTACCAAAAATGTTGCAAAGTACTAGCAGGAGTAGAAGCAGTCGCAGTAACAGTAGTATGAACAACTGCAGCAACAGTAGTATTAGTATAGTAGTAGTAGGAGGAGGAGGAGGAAGAGTAGCGGTAGTAGTAGTGGTAGTAGTAGTAGTAGGAGTAGCAGCAGTAGTAGTAGAAGTAGTAGTAGTAGTAGTAGTAGTAGTAGTAGTAGTAGTAGTAGTAGTAGTAGTAGTAGTAGTAGTAGTAGTAGAGGAGGAGGAGGAGGAGGAGGAGGAGGAGAAGGAGAAGGAGAAGGAGTAGTAGTAGTTGTTGCATTTAGTAGTTGGTAGTAGTGGCGGCAGCAGCAGCAGTAGCCGCAGTAACAGAAAAAGTGATAGTAGTGGCAGAATAATAGTAGTAGTAGCAGCAGCAGCAACTAAAGTAAGTGTCCAACATTCTGTGGGAATGTTAAATGTAAATTAAAAAAAAAATTGTAAAAATTTTTGGGTGACTGCAGTCATGCACATACTGTTCAAGGAATTCCAGTCACCTTTTAAGTCAAATTTCACTGGAATTCCCTTAAGTGTGCGTATGGTCATGTTTCCTACTAAAGGACATAACCCTATTATTTATAAACACAGTTCTGCCAAAGTAGTAAGCTTGATTTTCAAATTAACATTTTGATCAATCTTCTTTCTTTTACCCCACCAGGACATCACACAAGCGATAAACACCCGATGACACAAAGTGCCACTATGTGGATGAGGATCACCGTGGAGAGGTCCCAGAAACCCCGTTCAGCCTGGCAAGACCCATAGTAGGGCTTCAAAAAACGAAAGATCAACTTGTCACATGATGAAAGAAGATGAACTTAAATTATACATTTCCTCTTCAGCCTTTCACCTCTCTAGGACACAGTAGATAATCTGGGATCGCAAAAAGGAGGAAAAAAAAAGGGGGGGGGGGCAAGGCATGTACGCAACACAGGATTCGAATTTATTGTCTTACTCTGGAACCCACAAAGTAAAGACAGAAACAGACAAAAAAGCCAAAACCACACTGTAAAATCAGAGATGGAAGTCTTTGTTAGCGGCACATTATGGGAAGATATAGGAGAACTTATGGGGATTTTCATTTTAAAAAGATTTTTTTTTTTAAATCCAGCGAAACAAAATATGGAACCTTTGATCCAGTTGGGATTTTCTTTTTAAAAAGATTTTTTTTTTAAATCCAAGAAAATTATTTAAAACTAAAACGCAAACACTTTTCAAAAAGCCCTGACAGTAGTCCTAAAAGCAGCAACAACAACAGCAGCAGTTGTAGTAGTAGGAGTAGTAGTGATGGTGGTGGTACTGCTAGTGGTGTTTCAAAAAGCCCTGACAGTAGTCCTAAAAGCAGCAACAACAACAGCAGCAGTTGTAGTAGTAGGAGTAGTAGTGATGGTGGTGGTACTGCTAGTGGTGTTTCAAAAAGCCCTGACAGTAGTCCTAAAAGCAGCAACAACAACAGCAGCAGTTGTAGTAGTAGGAGTAGTAGTGATGGTGGTGGTACTGCTAGTGGTGTTTCAAAAAGCCCTGACAGTAGTCCTAAAAGCAGCAACAACAACAGCAGCAGTTGTAGTAGTAGGAGTAGTAGTGATGGTGGTGGTACTGCTAGTGGTGTTTTCAAAAAGCCCTGACAGTAGTCCTAAAAGCAGCAAACAACAACAGCAGCAGTTTGTAGTAGTAGGAGTAGTAGTGATGGTGGTGGTACTGCTAGTGGTGTTTCAAAAAGCCCTGACAGTAGTCCTAAAAGCAGCAACAACAACAGCAGCAGTTGTAGTAGTAGGAGTAGTAGTGATGGTGGTGGTACTGCTAGTGGTGTTTCAAAAAGCCCTGACAGTAGTCCTAAAAGCAGCAACAACAACAGCAGCAGTTGTAGTAGTAGGAGTAGTAGTGATGGTGGTGGTACTGCTAGTGGTGTTTTCAAAAAGCCCTGACAGTAGTCCTAAAAGCAGCAACAACAACAGCAGCAGTTGTAGTAGTAGGAGTAGTAGTGATGGTGGTGGTACTGCTAGTGGTGTTTCAAAAAGCCCTGACAGTAGTCCTAAAAGCAGCAACAACAACAGCAGCAGTTGTAGTAGTAGGAGTAGTAGTGATGGTGGTGGTACTGCTAGTGGTGTTTCAAAAAGCCCTGACAGTAGTCCTAAAAGCAGCAACAACAACAGCAGCAGTTGTAGTAGTAGGAGTAGTAGGAGTAGTAGTGATGGTGGTGGTACTGCTAGTGGTGTTTCAAAAAGCCCTGACAGTAGTCCTAAAAGCAGCAACAACAACAGCAGCAGTTGTAGTAGTAGGAGTAGTAGTGATGGTGGTGGTACTGCTAGTGGTGTTTCAAAAAGCCCTGACAGTAGTCCTAAAAGCAGCAACAACAACAGCAGCAGTTGTAGTAGTAGGAGTAGTAGTGATGGTGGTGGTACTGCTAGTGGTGTTTCAAAAAGCCCTGACAGTAGTCCTAAAAGCAGCAACAACAACAGCAGCAGTTGTAGTAGTAGGAGTAGTAGTGATGGTGGTGGTGGTACTGTTAGTGGTGTTTCAAAAAAGCCCTGACAGTAGTCCTAAAAGCAGCAACAACAACAGCAGCAGTTGTAGTAGTAGGAGTAGTAGTGATGGTGGTGGTACTGCTAGTGGTGTTTCAAAAAGCCCTGACAGTAGTCCTAAAAGCAGCAACAACAACAGCAGCAGTTGTAGTAGTAGGAGTAGTAGTGATGGTGGTGGTACTGCTAGTGGTGTTTTCAAAAAGCCCTGACAGTAGTCCTAAAAGCAGCAACAACAACAGCAGCAGTTGTAGTAGTAGGAGTAGTAGTGATGGTGGTGGTACTGCTAGTGGTGTTTCAAAAAGCCCTGACAGTAGTCCTAAAAGCAGCAACAACAACAGCAGCAGTTGTAGTAGTAGGAGTAGTAGTGATGGTGGTGGTACTGCTAGTGGTGTTTCAAAAAGCCCTGACAGTAGTCCTAAAAGCAGCAACAACAACAGCAGCAGTTGTAGTAGTAGGAGTAGTAGTGATGGTGGTGGTACTGCTAGTGGTGTTTCAAAAAAAGCCCTGACAGTAGTCCTAAAAGCAGCAACAACAACAGCAGCAGTTGTAGTAGTAGGAGTAGTAGTGATGGTGGTGGTACTGCTAGTGGTGTTTCAAAAAGCCCTGACAGTAGTCCTAAAAGCAGCAACAACAACAGCAGCAGTTGTAGTAGTAGGAGTAGTAGTAGTGATGGTGGTGGTACTGCTAGTGGTGTTTCAAAAAGCCCTGACAGTAGTCCTAAAAGCAGCAACAACAACAGCAGCAGTTGTAGTAGTAGGAGTAGTGAGTGGTGGTACTGGTGGTACTTCAAAAAGCTACAGTAGTCCTAAAAGCAGCAACAAAACAGCCCTGACAGTAGTCCTAAAAGCCCTGACAGCAACAAGCAGCAACAGCAGCAGTTGTAGTAGTAGGAGTAGTAGTGATGGTGGTGGTACTGCTAGTGGTGTTTCAAAAA